GTTAGTGTACCTTGGTGGATGAACAGCAGTTTCACGCATGCTAGTGGTAGTCTGTAGCTTTTTGTCTTCTCGCAGCGCCGGAAACATATTGTGAGAATATTGAACCAATTTCAAGATGTATCTGGTCTACGACTGCCTACGCTTGACACATATCTGGCATCCACTGTTTTGGATCATGCGTGACCATGATTACGCAAACCCGTCATCTTCTACCCTACACGCGTTAGACCTATGATCTAAGATAGGCCTGGGGCTTACACCTCCATAAATGCGGTCCCTTTGGATAAACGACGTTGATTCAATACGTATCATTCTGAATTTCTCCTGTAGGGCACTTACAACCACGTCAAGGCTGCCACTAGGTCGTTTTGGGGCTGATAGTATCACTATCTCAGTTTTCAGTAGCATGCAAATTCTTCATAGGTGGATGACCCAACTATCACAGTCATTGACACGCCAGTTGAGATGGTCTTGGATAAGGATGGGATGAAAACTAGGGGCAGTTGTAAATGGTAGCTGACGCCCAGCTCTGTTTGATCTGTCAAGCATAGCATAAGCAGTGCCATGTATAGAAGACATGGTTGATACCAGAAGTATTGCCACGATTCTGAGGTATAATGATGCGATTGTTTGACCGTCGACGCCAGCATCAGCATTACAGCCTGAAATTGGTCCACCGCCGAAAGTATGTGCAGCGGTCAAGTGTCTCTAACATAATATTGTAACGTATAGTAAACTATTTTTGAGCGATAGAAACGGAATTCTTCGGAGGAATATCTAATTCGCAAAGAGACTGAGGCAAACGAGTTGAGGAACTATATGATCAGAAGGCATTTTCGGTCTCAGGATCCAGAATCCCGACCAGTCTAGGCCTTCAACACGAAGAGACCTGGCATGACGCTGGAACAAAAAGAATGGAGAATGACATGGTATGATGCGTGGAAGTAATCAGCACAAGAGCCTGCAGATGGCCTAGCTTTGAGCCCCTCTGCTCAAGTGGTGGGCCCTTGGCCCTTTGTACAGGCGCTTGTAATAGCCCCGTTGCTCTAGCCAAATCCAATGTAGCTTGTGGCGTTATGAAGCTCTGTCATAGCGAGATCTTCTTTGGTGATTATGCATGAGTGTCAAGCTTAGACGTCAGAGTTGCAATGTCCAGCGAGCCGCAGGGATACAAAGAGAGGGTCGCATCTCAGATAGATACGAAGTGCGCAGATCGCACTGGAGGTGGTAATTCTCAAATCATCTCCTTTCCAGGAGATCGTATCGGACTTGCCCCTCTGTAATACCGTTTTGGGACATATGTGTTGCGCGATGCAACACGAACGAGGATGGACCATGGCCTCATTATTGACCCATTGCTTGGCCCATTCTCATGAGATGATAAACTGCATCCGACTGTCCAAATGAATATTTTGCCAGCTGAACAGCATGGAGACACGGGCGCGTTCATACGTGACGACCCCCATCACGACATTACCATCAGTTTCTGAACAAGAGGAGGCCTCTGAACCGCGCGTCGCTTTTTCCCATCGCTTCCTGTCTAGGAGAACGATCAGATCGCAAAGGCATGACTTGAAAAACATAGTCAATACATTTAACTGGCGGTTCAGCAAGCATAAAATTTCGACAATGCATGTTGAATCCCTAAGCACGGCAACCTCACCCCGCAACAGACAACGTCGTAATCTAGGGTGACGAGTCGACCACATCAGATCAAGCAAATTACAATGCGCAGGTGCCTATTGGCTTGCAACAACAACGATGATACCAAGTGTGATGAATTATGCAAGGGTACAGGGCTGACTTGGCTGGTGAATGGAGCTCCTGATCCTCATTTAGACCCTTCAGTGCCGATACTCGATTGCTCAAGCTTCCGCCGAGGGCCACTTGAGATGATCCCGACGTGGGGTAAGCCTTGGCCACATGCGCATGGTTCATCTGTCCCTCGGTAACCTCTAGTACTGCAGGTGAAATCAGCAAAACCTAGCCGCGCCTCCTCAAGAGGTACAATTTAAGGCTTACGCAAGTCATGAATGCGCTAGAATTGCACAGCAGTGGATGATGGTGCTGAGAAAAGGAGACCGCGAGTCAAGGCTAAAGCCCCTGAACAGCTTACGTATGCTGCATCTACGTCCTATTCAGGAAAGCCCCGACTCAAAAACTCCGGGGGCACTCACTGATTGGGAAAGGCTCGATCGGATGACAGGCCAACAACCGCCCACATACCGAAAGCTTGTGGCGGGGCTGATCCGAGAACCTGAAGGTCGAAACATGCCAACGGCATTTGCAAGCATCTGAACCCCATGATGGGGCAACGACAACGCGGCTTCTAGCCCCTCGGCAGAGCTGCGCCTTGCATGAGGCTCAACTTATGCCCGCAGAGGGCGACGCGTCCTGGTGCTGGTTGCGTAGCACAGCAATTTGGGTTGACGTCAAAGGACGGGAAGGGAGGACTGGCAAGTCGTCGAAGAATCAGTATATAGCAGACTAAGTTTTCAGCTCTCAATCGTTAAACCTTCTTTTCAGCACCACAGCTCTCCATCTCCTTCTCTCTCACACACCATATTGCCAGCTTCTTGATTTTCAACGCCTTTTCTTGTTCGTTCTTGAGACTTCACCATCGCAACCTTACGTTTTCGCCAACATGCGTCTGACTTCTGTCGCTTCGGGCATTGCCCTCCTTTCCATCCAGGCGGCTGCCCATCCTGGCCACGATCTTTCTGAGGAGATTGCGGAGCGCCGCGCCTTTCTCGGAAACATTGAGCGAGCTTCCCTCGCTCACTGCGCCGCCAAGCTTCGTGCTCGCGGTGTTGAGCAGCGCAACATTGAACGTCGCGCTGCCCTTCTGAAGGACGCCCGTGAGAAGCGTAAGTTGACCGTACCGATACCGCTTTGTGCTTCATACATCTGACATGGAATAGTCGCTCTGAAGAAGAAGCGCGACGTCGATACCGTGTTGGCTACCAGTCACAACAAGACCGAGCTTGGCTACACAATCAACACGGATGCGGATACTCTGTTCAGCGGCCAAAACTCCTGTGTTCTCACTCCTGAGGTGACGCAGGGTCCTTACTGTGAGTCGCGAGTTAAACAGCCTCCGGCTCGTTCAGGATTAACATTCAACAGACGTTGGTGGTGAGTATGTTCGTCGCAACATCATTGAAGAGCAGGAGGGAGTCAACATCGTCCTCGATTACCAGGTCATTGATGTCGACACCTGCGAGCCGGTCCCCAATGTGTACCTCGAAATGTGGCACTGCAACTCCACCGGCGTCTACTCCGGCGTGATTGCCAACGGCAACGGCGACTCGTCTGACGAGAGCAACATCGACAACACCTGGCTTCGCGGGGTGGG